AAAAGGAAAGAAAAGAAACAAAAGAAAAAATAAATAAATAAAACAATATTCACTGCTTATGTTTTTATGGTCATATTAATACAGTTCACAGCTGAGCCATATGTTGTACTATGATTATATTTTTCTTTCTTTTTCTTTTCTTTTTTTTTTAGAGACGCAGTCTCACTATGTTGCTCAGGCTGGACTTGAACTCCGAAGCTCAAGTGATTCTCCCACCTCAGTCTCCCAAGCAGCTGGTACTACAAGTGCATGACACCCCACTCGGATACATTTTCTTTTTTACATAGCTTTTACTTTTTTCCTTTCTACATTTAATTGCCTTTTTGTCTGTTTGCCTAGTTTTTTAGAAAAACAACTTCAGTACAGTTACATAAAATATACCTATTTTACATGGAGAGTTCATAGAGTTTTGACAAATATATACACCTCTGTAAACGTCATCCCAATCAGGATATAAAACATTTCCATCACCCCCAGCAAGTTCTTTCTTGTTCTTTTGCAGTCAAACCCCGACCCCCATCTCAGGCAAGGGCTGACTGGAATCTATTACTAGAGATTAGTTTTACCAGTTCTTGAACTTCATGTAAACGGAATAATTTTTTGACAATTTCACTTTGAAGAGACAGACTACTAAAAAGACAATTGTTTGTGTAGTAAGTACAAACATGCTAAAAGTAGACAAGACCTGTTCCAGTTTTGGGTCAGCACGGGATTCCTCGAAAAATTAAAAGAATAAACCACTACTATCATTATTAGAAAGAATTAACCTGGAATAGAAAGAGGTGTTATGCCGACGGGGATGGGGGACATGGGGGATGAGGGACATGGGGGACGGCAGAAGCGCAAGACATGGGGTGCGAATGGGGTTGGGGTCCAGACAGAAGGAAAAGCATGAACAAAGGCTTGGAACAAGAACAATTCTGTCTGGACTCAAACCTGGATTTCCTAACTTGTCTCCATTTTACTACCATCGAAACTGCTATGCTCTCCAAGTTTTTTGCCCAGTCCAAGCAGAGCAATTATGAATAAGAAAGACGCTCTACCAACATATTTCAGTGTTTTTCCCCATTAGACTGTAAGTTCTTTGAAAGCTAGAACTTCATAATGTAACCCTTGTTACGTAGTGGGCAAGCATTAATAAATATTGGTAAAACTGACGAATAATTGGGTGAGTGAATGAACGAACGAACGCATGCAAACCCGCAAGTCCCTGGAGGAAATGGTCACCTTCGGAGGTTTAGTCTGGCCCAGAAGCCCTAAGACCACGGACGATGCCAGGTCCCACGCCAAACGCCGGGGAGACGCTCTAGGCAAGCTACACGATTTTTGCTGCGGCGCCGCTCTAGCCGCGAGAACGCCACTCTATGGCTGCGGGGGAGGGGCGGGGCTCGTGGGCGTCTCCGGCCCTTTTTGTCCCG